TAGGTATTTGCACTAGGCAAGCAAGCACAATTTTTTCTCCTGCTAGGTTATCAATAAGGGATAATTCATGTCTATTTCAGATATGCTTTAATCTAATGTCTTTCCTGGAAATAACCTTTGATTATTTCGCTTCTAAGTGACAAGAGATTGTCTACATCGTGTTGAGTGGTACCAGTAACTAACATCTTTTACTATGTGTATTGCAGGTATGCTAGGCCACATTTGAATCTTAGGTAATCTTCCCAAGGACACAATTCCATTTCTGTATTGCTTTCTCTTCATGATATTCACAAAGCACTTGGAAGCACTATGTTCTCTTGATAGCTCTGAGTGTTGTTATAAAGAGGCTGTTTGATTTCTTATTTGAGAATTAAATCTAGCAATGCAGAATATAAAATACATTTCAGAGATACATTATGGTACATATATAAATATTTGGACAGTGCCCAATTTATGGCTCTGGACTTTTACATATAAAATTAACAAAGACCAAAAAAAAGTTAAAAATATTTCTGAGGAAGGCAGCTAGTTCGTTTTCAGTTGATTTCATTAAGATTAGGCAGGTTTATTTAGATTAAATAAAAATAACAGTTTTATTTTTACATCTGCCATGGCCCTTCTCTCATGAGTGGCAGACATAAATGATGCCAGGGTGTATGACTAACTGGCAAAAACAAGGTAAGATATTTTTGTATAGGCTAAATAATATCCTATTAATACAAGGCCACTTTCTTTAGATTACATTTTCTTTGTACCTGGTCCATTCACAGCTTTCTCCAATTCACAGCTCCTTTCTCCAAAGGAGCAATTTCCTTGTATCGTAAACTTTGATCTATTGTCACTCATGCAGTTTTGATTGACTGCTTACTTACAGAAAGACACATCTATTTAACTGCTGTTGTGCTATAACAATAAGAAAGGATCCTAAAAAATGCATTTTGTAATTACAAAGTATAGGCGGAGGACCCCTGGTGCTTTTGGCTGGAGACTATTGGGCTCACACTAAAAGAACATAAATCTTCCTAATTTGTTTTGTTGCCACATCAGCTAAGTGTCTCTAAACCACTGCTGTCTCCAAAGTGACCACCAGAAGGACAGGAAAGTTAAGTAATTTGTTCATGATCAGACTGTAGTATTGGGAACAGAATCTAGTTCTTCCAGTCATCTTTTCCTGTGGAGCTTCATGTTTCCTTCACCATCGAGGCATTCAGAATCATTCAGTTGAAGGGAGGGAGGGAGGGAAGATCTAACAGACTCTATCTAACGAAAGCTCTTTCATGAAGAGTTTAGGAATTCATCTGTGTGTCCCATCTTACTCTATAGAGTTTAACAATAAATAAATAAATGACCTTCATTAAAAAAATCCCCAACTAATCTTTCTCTAATATGTTGTTTTGTGATGAATGCCTTGCTACATCTTTACTGTGACTATTCTCCTGCGATATCAAGAGACGAGACTCCTCCCAGGGTCAAACTGAGCATAGATCATAATCCCATCGTGAATTCCAGTGTATGTTTGATCCTCCAGAAGAATTTAAGAATCTGTTTTATATAGAACGGTGGCAATTAAGATGGCAGATGAATGGGGCTAAGTCAGAGAGTTTTTTCATTTTGTAAATGTGAGGCTAGAGTGTTTCCGAACTTAGGAAAAAATGAACTCCATGGGGGATTCCGTGCTGTTTCACTTCTTCCAAACACTGCATACAGTGAGTCCCTAAACCATAAACAGGCAGGAGAAGCCCTAGTGTTGACTGGATCATGGTCTCGCTAAGCCTCAAGAGATCCTCCTTGTCTTGTGAGTGCCAGGGGTTCTGGCATTCACAAGATATGCTGAGGTTTACAGGAGTTACAACGAGCAGGCTTTTAAATGAAGGACAGTGAGTCTATCAGTCTCTCCTGTTGAAGTTGTTTTTCATTCTGCATAAATATTTACATTTTGACTGAAACAATGAACCTAGATTCAAGCACCCATTTTAATGAACAAAATGCTAGGAGAATATAAAAGAGGTCTGGGCAGAGCATCTGGACTGGCGTTCACTTTATGTCAGTAAGAATAAACCTTATGCTTTGGAGTGAAACAAATATTATTTGGGGTTAGGTTTTTTGTTTGCTTGTTTTTTGACATTAACTTGAATTTTTTGGGCGAACATGTGCTTTTGCTCAATACTGTTATACATCTGAGAAGTTTTTAAAGCATCATTGGCATTTACCTAGCTACTTTAATTTCTAAATGACCTTGATATGTTCCTTTTGACATATTTTTTGGGACACCTGAGAAAGGAATGACATGCTAACATAAAATAAGATTTGATCTTCTGAAAGATTTTGCTTTGATTACCAATGAGAGGCTCAGCCTTCCAGTGTAAACAGCCTTAGTTTACTCTCTGGAAGATTTCTCTGCAAAATTTAATCCTAAGTAGCAATCGCTATATACATTTTTTCTTTGTTCAAATTAATTTGTTGTTGTTGTTTTTTTAAATAAGTCCAACATGTATAAGAATCTCCCCTCTACTTTACAACACCAAATTTCTATCAAGTGCTGTAAAATAAGTTTATCTGCAAATACTAGATCTGTGCCACATTTTAATTCAGTACATAAATTATATATGTGAAAAAGGTCATATCTGTAGAGATGGCCTGATTTTGGATGGCTATATCCCTGTTGCTAACAAAAGTCGTCAATTTATATTTTGTTTCAGTACATATAGGCTTTCTCACAAACAAAGATGCAAAATTCGCAGAGCAGACAAGTTTTTATTTTCTGTTTCAGCTTTTTGACATTCATTTGTTAGCATGCCCTGAACAAATCTTTCATCTCAAGTTCTAATCATACTGATTTCAGGACGTTTTAAAAGTGGACTAATCAATTCTCCTTCCAGTTTCCATCACAGTAGCTAAGAACCTGAACCAATTTCTTTTGTCTCCTGAACTATTTATTTTTTGATATCTTACACTCCATTGAAATGTAAATCCATTTTTCTTTAGACATTTTGGAATAAAATAGCATCAAATTCTACTCAGACATGCAGGCTAGTAATCAATTTCCCTAAAAACTTCAGCATCCCAAGCAATCTGTCATACCATTTCCTTATTTTTTTCAGAGGAAGCATTTTCTGCCTATATCTTTCTCCAGAACCTGGTAACAAGATAAGTTTTACATTGATCTCATATCCTCTAAATAAAGATATTGCTTCATCTTCAAATCCAACAGCTCAGTTGAACACAGTTGTCTAGCGATACAATGCCCCGCACAGATTTGATGGTAGTGCTCAACTGCATTAATTCTTCATCTATATTTTGGCATCTTTTAACTCTTTTAACTTACTCTTTTAACTTACCCAATATAGAGAGTTATTTAGCACTACCCAAATCCCCCAAATTTCACCATTTGTAGGTACTAGGAATTCATCCTGGTGCTGTTAAATTCTTTGGAGTTTGGTGGTGCATTTGGTAGTGTTTTCATGTTCACTGTTTTTATTACCATTCCAGTACATGTAACATTTCTTTCTCATTTTCTTTTAATACACTGATATTCACCTTTCTCAATTGTTTTCATCTTTCACCCTTTCAGTGAGGAAAACTCCACACAAGACCCCAAGACTTCACACTTTAACCCAAAGACCACCTTTCTTCTGAAAAACCATAAAAAGATAACATTTGCTTTCAAGCTGCTCTACATTGCATGACAATTGCTCATAGTGTAAATTTTCCTTTCTCTATGTCATACCCATTCTTCTGACACTTGAAGACTTTTGTGAGGTGGTATTATTTGTTACTTCTCTTGAAGTTTTACTGGATGCTTGATTCTCCAACCATATAAAGCTCTACATTGTCAGAACAAGAAGCTGACTTCTGTTTTTTTTTTTTAATGATTTTCATTTTAGTTCGTATTTGACATTCCCCCAAAATTCTATAAGCTGAGAATCTTGCTTGCCTGCTATTAATTTTACTGTAGTCCAACTTAAATTTCAACTAGTCTAACTTCCATTACTTTTTTTTTTTTTTCTCAAGTGGTCATATTGATTCCTCCCAAAGATCTTGAGCACTATTTTCTTTAGATGATAATCCCTGCTAACTATCTGATCAGGGCTTAGTCACCCAGAACTACCAGCCCTAAAGCAAACACTGCCTCTGCCAAGTTTTACCTCCTTCATTCATCCTGTGTCAAAATGAGTCTTGGATATGTTTCAACTTTTGCACATAATTCCTCAGCTTCCTGTATTACAGCTTCAGAAAGCTTGAGTTAAAAAAAAAAAAAAAAAAAAGCTTTTAAAACCCAAAAATGTTTCAGAATCAGCCATGGCCAATGGCTGTTCCCACCTATTGTTTGCAGTCTTGGAAAGAAAAACTATTTGAACTTTTCCATTTTAAAGATAGCTAATTTCAGTTTCAGGGAAGTTCTCATGTGTTTTAACAGTTTTATTTAGCAGTATTAAATTTACTGTTTTTCATTCTTTTTCATTATTTTCATTCATTTTTCACTCTTTCACATGCACCACTATATCTTCTCCCCAAAATATTTGTAGTAGACTCCACTTACTCCCTATACTTATCCTTAATTTCAGAAGAGGGTCTTCTGTTTGACCAACAAATTGTTCCTTGAGGCAAGAACTTGAAGCAGATTTTACCACAGTGATGTTTTCCTCCTCAGCTGCTTATATAGCTAACAAGTCTGCAACCTTTTTAAAACTCTGGAGTTGTCGTCCTATGACTGCAGGAGCAAAGTACATGCTCTGTGTAGAAGACAATCCTACTCTTAGTGCATGTATTTTAAAATTTTAATGCAATCTTGAAACTAGGTAAAATAGGACCTGAATATGCTTTGGTTACAAAATAGAATCAGGAGCAAAGTATCCTATAATGAAACAAATATGTAAAAGAAGTTCTGCTGAACATGTAAAATAGACTTCCTTTTTCCTAAAACAGAAAAAAAACAAAAAAGAAAAGAAATTTCCCTCTAGCTGGAGAAAATGGTTATTCAAAATTAATTATCTACTCACCTTTCACCCTGTCTCCTTTGTGCAGGTGAATTTCCCCTTCTCCTTGAGGTTGATATGGCTTTACGACAATAAAAAGTCTTCCAGGTACAGCACTGTAAAGTTTGCGTTTGGGGCCCTGATAATCCAAGACGGAGAGTGTATCCTTGTTGGCACTAGGACTGTAACTGGCACTGGAAATTGAAATGAAGAAGCATGAATTTGTTATAGAAATCACACAAAGTTGCTGTTTCATCATCACTTTTGTAGGATTAAATTCATCTGTGAAAGGATCTTCCACTATTACACTTAACACTCTAGAATAAATAACTGTTTTTACACAAGTTCTTTTAATTGTTAAAAATCTTTCTGTATGAAGTATGGCCAATATCCATTTGATAATAAAATGGGAAGACTAAAGTGTTTAGTTCTACAAGTTAAACTGGCATTTTCACAGACCCAAATAAATTTTATGTATACGCACCATAGTTAGAAGTATCACAATTTGACAGAAAGTTGTTAAAGCTACAGTATTTGCAACTGCTGTTGTGAGTCGATAACTTTGCAATTTTGCAGTATTAACTGAACAATCAAGTTAACTGAATTATTAATTTAATGGACTGAACAATGCAGTTAGTTCATTACTCTGAGAGCTGGAGCTAAATTTTAGGTGGGAATGTGAACAAAGCATGGCTTTTATGGTTAACATACTTTCAAAAAGTTCATTTTTTATTGATGACAGTCAGTAGCTCTCCCAATGACTTGAGAGCAGTGTACCTGCATATGGTGTAGGTCATCAAACAGCACAGAATCTACTTTGGATGAATAGAGAATAAGTCGCTGAAAATTGGTGAATAATATATGAAACATGATTGAAATGTTAAAAACATAGTGTGAAGAAAAGGCAAATAGGAAAGATGGTGGAAAAATTATATCAGATACCATAATAAACATGAAATACACTACTATTTATAGAAAAATGGAAAAATTTTAGGTCTTACACTAAAAGTCTAGAAACAAAATATTTCTGAGAAAGAAGAACGTACGTGAAGATTTTAGGAAGAAGATAAACTATGAAAAAAAAGTTTAATGATGGTTTAGTGTTACAACACTGTACTTACAGTCTAGTACAGGCAAACGGAGAATGCAAAACTATTAGAAACGAAAGAAATGCTGAAAGGTGGACTTCACTGTTTGTTTGTCCTTTTTTAACCAATCTCCTACCAAAATAGGAGTCAATGAAGCTCTCAGGATAGATAAAGAGGAGGTTATCTGGTAACAAACCCAAACAAAATGCATCTTTCTTACAAGGAACACTTCCATTTTGCTGCAGTAACTTCTTTATCATTTGAAGCTGTGTCTGCCTTTCATCTTGTTGTTCCACTCTCTTATTACTGTGATAAGCAGTCCTCAGAGTTTAAAAACGAACACTCCTTGGAGGCCTGTGATGGCACTTGAAGAAGAAACCTCGGGAAGCAGCAACAGTAACTCTTCCAATCTTTCTGTCCATTCCTTTTTCCTTGTATGTGAAAAAGTAGCCATCACAGTCCATAAGCCATGTACACTCTTATCATAAGATACGTACACTCTTACTGCACATCCAATTTCTACCTGTATCAAGCTGCACTTGCTGCCTAATCTGTTAGCAAGCAGGCAGCAGCAGTACATGATGTTACATCCCAGCATCTTATTTAACTCTCATCACAGCAGATTTAGTCATTTCCTCTCTTACTGAAAACAGAGGGTGGAATGGCACATTTAACTTTTACACTGAACGGATCATTTCTCAGGAGACAGACTCACATGTTGAAATCAGCTGCAACATGGCATCAATAACTTCTTAAAAAACATCTTTCCTCTCCCAGCACATCCCCCACTATGAGGGAGGCAGGAGGAGAAGAGGATTTCAGGAGATATGAGGCAAATTTTTATGTTCTGTTGTGCTGATAACGGAATAATAAATCCATTATTCCCCACCCAGAAAGGACAAAGGCAAGTCATCTGAATAAAGCAAAGGCAAACAAGTATTTGCTTTTTGAAGAAGTTTCAGAACTCAACGAACTGTTTATATTTTAAGTTGCACAGTGCATTATCCCAGGAAAGTTAACAAAAAGCTACTTTTTATCACTTTGAGCTAAACAAGGAAGAAGGAAAACTTTGGTAGTGCCAGCAGTAGCCAGTGGAATATTTCGCACTCACTGTGTGAAAAGCATTGGGCAGATGGACCTCCTCACCTATGCAAACTCATTAAAGGGAACATAATTTTATGCTGATATGGTTTTTTCTGAGTGTGATCTGAAGTTACTGTTTTTTCATGATTACTGTAACATATTCCAATGTAACAGCAGTTTGATAGTAGTAGTTCTACTGCGTAAAACCAACAGCGTAAGAAATTCAGAGTCCAGTTTCTTACAGTTCCAATAACTTTTTTTTTTTTTTAACAATTCAGTATGTTCCAATGTCCAACATTATTTCTACTACATCAAATAATGACTATCCATTTGGCTACCTGCAGCTAAAAAGAGAAGAGCAAGAAAAATAATAGTAGAGAGCTTCATCTGACTGGAAAGCTCAAGTAAAGTCCCACCATACCTACTAATGACAAAAGAGAAAACCCACAGCTGCATTTCTCAACAATACTCTTTTCCTACAGTGAACAATAAATGTTCTTTTGGTATTAGGAAACAGGATAGACAAAGCCTGGTATTTTAAATGATCAGCGAATGAAATGTGCTTGATCAGAGCTTCAATTCCTTCCATCAATATTCAACTCTGTCTCCCTCCTTTTCTTCAGCCCTGCACTTTAACCCCCTTGGCTTATCATCTGGCTGCAGTTGCATTGGTTGCATACTTGACAGAAGTCATTCCCAAGTCCTCCTCGAAGCAAAGCTGTAATTATCTATTCACAGGACAGTGGTTTTATAAAGCTGGAGCCTCCATTTGCAATGAAAAGACAGACACAATCATCTGTTTTCTTATATTACCTACAATACCTACATCGTGCTAATTAGTCAGGATTTGTTATCCAGTGAGACATAGCTGCAGGATATTTGCAGAGAGGGCCTGCTAAACCTCACTTGTAATTCAAAAGGAAAAAAAATAAAAAAGAGCAGCAAATTCACAGGGAATGCAAAATCCTGCAAGGATGATCAGAAGAGCCCATTGCATCCATCACCATGTTCTCCAGAAGCCACCTTTGCCCTCAGGCACCCTCCTACCCCAGGCTACACACCATTTTGTCATTATTCCTCACTTCTGAGCTGTGGTGCAGAACTCATCTACGCAAGAGGGAAATGCAAGAGTCTCCACTTCACCTCCCATACGCAGCTCCAGCACAGACTCCCGGGATGGCAGATGCAGCCACAGAGTATCTTGAAAGTGTATTACTTTTCTGATACATACGGCATTTTTTTTTTTAACTATTAAAGACTCTAAGAAATAGCACCTTTTATTCTCAAGAATTAGCCCTTCTCCTTCAGAGGGGCACACGCAGTGATAAGCTTTGTACATATTCCACTGTGCAGAGATTTTATTGCCTTTGTATTAGATGGAGTGCCAAATGGGCACGTAGGTAACACTAAGGAACACGGTAGTTCCCTACCATGGGGACATTAGGAGTATTTCCAAGCATGCAAACATTCAGAGAGTCACCTGATGTGCCTGTGCTGCTGCCTCTTGGCATCTTCTCCCAGCCTGTTCAGGGATGGAGAGCGGCTCCGCGAGGATGGCGTGTAAGTCCCAACAGTTTTCACGGTGCCATTAGGATTATTCTGCATCTGTTGAAGCAGATGAGGCGAGAGGCTGCGGTGGGAAGAGGCGGAAGAGGAGGCCGACCACTCGGGGAGGTTGTTGATGTTGAGGTTGTTATCGCTGTTGGACCGGAGCAAGACACGAGGGGCGGCCAAGGTACTTGGCGGCCTCCGCCTCCGGTTAGAATAGGTAGGAGCCTCTCTGAAGGGCACTGCAGAAAGGAAAACATGCCGGGTAATCACAGATGATTTTGCCATTTATATGTGTTTATCACTCCATAAAAAGAGTTAACAACATATGGCATTACTTTTCCTGCAGAGAGAAACAGAAACTCTACCTTCCCCACACAGCCAGTCAATTTCTTTATGTTTAAAGACATCACTAAAGCTGACAAAAACAGACAACACTAAACTTTTTCCTGACTTTAATGAATACCTTGGCAACATGGAAAGCATTGGCCCGCTGCACCACGGGCTAGGGA